ACCATGTGATTATAAATTAGACTTGATCAAAACGGGCCAAAACTTGAAATTCAGCCTATTTGACCGACCCATGCCAAGCTCAATTTATTCTTTACTTTCAAACTTTCTATTTTAAAATAAAAAATAATGAAAGAAAAGAGATGACTACAATTCGCCATTTGCACATCACTTCTTTGGGAACAAAATCATAGAAATTCGAAAGGAAACTGAAAATGTTTAGGATCGTTTTAATGGTAAAAATAACCGAATGGATCTTTCTGTTTAGTTTTTTACTAACAAACACCAAGCGATTCCCTATAAAATACACTATAATTTAATCATTATGATATCAAATAATTACATAATATATATTTAAAATTATAAAAATTGGATTAATTGGGTTGGTAGAGGTTGAAGCATTTAATAACTTTAAATATATTATATTTTAGCCACAAAGATATAAAATAATAGCATAATATATGTTATGCTAGAGAAAATAGCTTGTTTTAGTATGGCAAACCCATGATGTTCATTTATTTTACTTGATGATCAAATTTCGTATAGGTTAGTCTCATTCAACTCTTTTAATTTATGGTTAGCGATTAACCCATTAGAATCCATGCATTAGTTTATTGTTAAATTTTTTCTTTTTTAGCAATAAAAATGGAGTATTGTTTTTCCCTTTCATATATATATTACCAACACCGAGAAATAAAAAGGCTTAACAAAACATGTTTTGTTTTTGTTGGGCCGCAACAATTCTTGAGCCTGTTGAAGTCCGCATGTGTACGGTAAGTGGCCCGTTCCAAAGATGAAAGAGAAAAAAAATTGACACTCCATATTTTACCATTCTTACAAACGCTCATGGAGTAGAGAATTTAAAATGGGGGAAGAGTTTTTTCCTTCTTGCTATTATATGTTTGTAATCTAAAAAGATATAACAAATATACTTAGTGTGATTGGTTATGATCTTTGCTTTTTTTTAAAGTGGTCATGGTTCGAATCCCAACACGTGTCTTTTTTACAAATAAATAAAACAAAGTAATTGTGAAGACCAAAATGTTCTTTCTATTTTCACTCTTATTTTCACTCTCGTTGCAGGAAATTTGAAATGGGTCTTTTTTATAAATAAATAAAACAAAGTAATTGTGAAGACCAAAATGTCCTTCATACTTTCACTCTTATTTTCACTCTCGTTGCAGAAAATTTGAAATGAAGCAACAGTTTTCCCCTTTCGGTTATTATATATTGTGTAGATGAGCCGCAAATAGTAAATACTTGACGAAAAATGACAAAAGATGAACCATTGGGCTTCATATTCGAATTGGATCTCATCGCAGCCCAATCCGTTACAGACTTCCCGTTCCGCTTCTCATTTCCTCTTGCAGGAAAACTCAATAAAGAAAAAAAAAAAAAAATCTGCAAACGAACGAAACGAAGCGATTGAAATTTGAAAGTATACTTCTTTCAAGATTCTTCAGACTAGCAATAAACCCCAGTCAATAAACAAAGCTTGAACAAGAAGGGTAGAGAAATCAACTTGATTGGTGGGAATTTGGAGCAAGCCGTCACTTTAGGCAGAAAGCAGATGGTTTGCTTTGCAGCAGCTGGAAGCTGCTACGCAATAAGGGCGACAGCGGTTATGGTGTCAACGAAACTCCACGTCAACAGTTCCCACGCATATTCCCAATTTCCCCTCTCGTCTCGGCTACCGTTCCCTTTTCCCTGCTACAGTATATCTCCTTCAACACGCCGAGCTCTCGCCATGGCCGCTACTCCGATTCAGTCGTCCCCGGCTCCTCAGGTCCCTCTCTCTCTCTCTCTTTTCCAATTTATTCCCATAAAGTTGCGATTTTGATAGGGTAATGAATTTTGGGTATGAACTTTTCACGGTGATTAGGCTGTATCTGGTACCGAAATCGGGGGTGGGGAAGATGTTATGCAATTGATCAATGCTCACCAGGTAGGGTTTTTTTTAAGTTCCAATTTGTGTGAGTGGATAAATGAATAAATGCAAGGGGGAAAAAGACTGAGGTTAATGAAATCATGGGGGTTTGTCTTATTGTGGAAGCGCAGAAAAATGCTGCTCGGCTTCCCGCCGTGGAGGAAATCCGGACGGTCCTTTATCATGGTCTGCGAGGGATGCTCTCAACGTTCTCTCAGGTTTGCGTTGCTGCTTACTGTATTTTTTTGTCATTCGATTCTATTTTCTTTTGAAGAAATCGAAACTCATAATGGAATGTTGCTGAGTTGTAGGATATTTATGGCTATCTTCTCCAGGGACTGACTGATCATTGTTCCTCTGATGTTGCAGAAATACGAGGGTTATCCATCTGGGTCGATTGTTGATTTCGCATCTGATGCAGATGGGTCTATTATATTGGCAGTCAGTTCCCTATCAGTTCATTCCAAGGTTTGGTTTATTGCTTTGTTAACGGAAACTGAAATTGTTCAGTTATTAGATCATTCCTTTGAATTTTAGATTTATTGGGTTAGGTAGTCTTGGAATGATTTTTCTGTTGAAGAGAATTGGCAGTTGTTATTTTCCAGACTTCGGTTTTCTGATCGCTAGCTGCATCGATCTACACAGGACCTGTCAGCTAATCCAAAATGCTCCTTGCTCTTTGCTAGAGATCCCGAGGACAGGAGTGATCTTATGATCACTGTGCATGGAGATGCTATCCCTGTATGTTACTTCTATCATCCTTATTCTTAGATGACAATTCGTTGTAAAGTTGTTTTGCACCATGATGCGAAGAGGTCTTTTTTATAAATGTTTAGGTATCTAAGCAAGACGAGGCTGCTACTAGAACTGCTTATTTGGCCAAACATCCCAATGCGTTTTGGGTAGCTTCCCTTTTGCCTACGTAGATTCTTTTGGCTAGTCGTTCAAGACATCCTTGTTTGCCCTTATGAGTTGGGACTGAGTCAACACTTTTCGTTTGAAGGTTGACTTTGGGGACTTCCAATTTTTAAGGATTGAGCCAACTGTTGTACGGTATGTGTCTGGAGTAGCATCTGCATTGCTTCGATCTGGAGGTTTGTGGATTATCCAGCTTTGTCTTTCTGTGTACTCAGTTTTTCTATTTGGAGGTTTGTTGATATTGGGGTTTCTGAAACATTCATTCTTTTGCATTTGACATTGCCATGTTCGAACAATATCAGAGTTCAGCAAGGAAGAGTTCAAATCTACTAAAGTTGATCCAATATCCCTATTTGCAAAGCCTGTTGCGGTATACACTGCTTTTGTAGTGGATGCTCTTTCTGTTTGGTCCTTGTTTTCTTTGTGTACTTGGATACTATTCCATATATCATCCTCTCAGTTGAACTTGCGTACTATTTCAGTCTCACATGAATAGAGATCATGGTGAGGATACAAAACTGATTGTGAAGCACACGACATCAATTCCGGTAATTTTTTACTTCAACTCATTGCTACTCATTTCTTACTGGTTAGCATCTGCAAATGAAATATTAATTTTTGACTTAAAAAACCAATAATCAATATCAAGTTTCCACTTTCCCCAGCCAGTTCATGTGTCTTTGAAGTCAGCAAATAGGTATTGCATGGGCTTGTGTCCCTGCAACATAGGTGATGATGTCTTAAGTGCTGAACCTTCTGGGTCAGCAACAGTTTCTTTCTGATCATAGCAGAGATTTTTGTGAAAGAGCGCGATATATGAGCTAATAGCCCCTGTACATTTGCTATAATCTTGTTTCTTTACTCATTTTGCTTCATAAATATGAGATCTTGAAAGCTGTAAACTTTTGTTCAGGTGGATTCTGCTTATATGCTCGATGTGGATAGTCTTGGATTCAATGTCAAGGTATGACACTCATTGTTGGCGAACTTATCTCGACTGCGTTTGAACCAAAAGAGTTGTCTGACACTCAACTATCTCTCTTTCATTTCACACCTCCCTGCTTCCCGTCCATCCCGCTCCTCCGTTTTCGTTTCATCATAGGATTGACTTATGGGGATATGCTGTATATGTATAGGCTGTTTATCAGGGGAACGCTTACAAGCTCCGTATTCCTTTCCCTAGGCGCGCAGAAGAAAGAAAGTGAGCACCTTTACTCTGAATTTCTGGCCACTTGAAGTTAGTCATTCTGTATAAGCAATTCAAATGCTTAAATTTCACCAAAAATCGTGAATAACTCTCTTCAATTTGAGGTTGACAGCCATATGAGTCATGTTCCGTGCAATCAATCCTGTGGCAATTCGAATCCTGTAAATATTCAATCACATTAACCCACTGTTTCCTCGTCTCCAGGGACCTTAAGACGTTAGTTGTTGAAATGCTTGAAGCTGCCAGAGGCCAGACCTAAAAACAAGCTCATGGATGCCCTACCAAGAGAAGAGCAGAAAGGTGAGAACTTGCTCAAGAAATAATGCTAGTCTGTTAAAGAGACACTGATATGGTTTGGTAAATAGTTGAACGATTAGCCTTGAAGACTTTTCGATTGTGAATATGGCCAAACAGAGACCCTCTTGCGTTGTCCACCCTTGTCTTAGTCCAGATCTTTTGAACTCTTTGTAATAAGACAAAAGGTATTGTATGTCTGGCACAGCTGGAGATATCTGGATTTACTTGTGATGATACCACAGGGTACATAATACAAAATGGTTTGTGTAATCTGTAATGTAATCCCAAAAATAAAGGGTTTGTTTGGCTCTAGCGGTAGTAATTAATTTCCATTTGGGAAGCTGATTTTGGAGTTGTGGTCTTTGGTTTTGGAGTGTTATGGTGGGTATAGGGTTAGTACAGAATCTGGAAGGATAGTTTTGGAAGGACTGAATTACCTAAATTGGGAGGGGAAAAGAAAAAGAAAAGACGAGAAGTTGGGGGTAAAAGGAGAAAGCTAGTGGCTGTTCTGAATTCTGATGGTGTTCACATGCATTGCCTGTTGGATTGGATTGGACCAGAAGTTCTGAGCTCTGTCACGATGTTGAATCTATCTCGCTTGGTTAATTGTAAGGTTGGTCATTGGGTTTACTAAATATGTTTATATTTGGTCACTGCAAATATTTAATTTCATTTATGATCACTAAGATTAGTTCAACAGTTTAAATTCGGTCACTCTCCGTTAGTTTTTGCTGATGTGGCAGTCAACTATTATAGTTGATCGTTAAATGAGTGATGTGGCCATATTAAAATAATAAAATTTAAACATTTACAATTTCCACGTCATTTTACAACTTAAAATTTTAAAACTAAAATTAATTCCTATTACTCTATAAACACCTAGACCTATCCTTTCTCCTCCTTCATCACTGCCATCGCCGCCACATCACCGCTACCGTCGACGTTACTCACAAGAATCAAATTGAAGAACCCGCTGCCTGTGATTGTGAAGCTTGTGACCCAGCCCGATCCCTCTCCCTTCGTGCCCTCGTAGGTACACCACCACTCCTCTTCCGGCTCCTCTCTCAATCGCATCGCCAGATCCAATTGGTTCCCGCAGTAGCACTGGCTCGACCCGAATATGTCGTCCGTCAAGCACTCCGAGTGAACTCTCACCAGTACGTCCTCGCCGTTCCCAATTTTTCTCTGCCAAAAACCACACAACCATTAATTGAAGAATCATGGAAATTGGTTTTCCTTATGGGTTCTTCTTGTTACCTTGACAAGGGCTATATATTCTGTCTCATCTAGTTTTGAGCGATAGCAGTAAGCTTTAAAGATGCCATGTTTTGTCATTGCTGTTCTTTCCACCAATTTCTCCCTCTTTCTCCGGTACCTACAATGGCGCCTTTGACGGTAAGTCAATTTACAGAATGGTAATGTTTATAGTTATTTAAACAATGTGGGTCACGTCACCTTCTAGATCGGTAATTGAGACGATTGGTATGTTGCTTGCCGCAGTCAAATTTCTGAGATTTTCCAAGGAAGCGATGGACCCATCCTCTGGATCGACGATGGCTCAGATAACAGAGACCGGCGGCAACCCGGCGAGCATAACTAGATCAATAGAAGCTTCGGTGTGTCCAGCCCTTTCGGTACTTGAGTGGGAAAACGTGGCCTGGTTTCCTTAACTCTTGAGGGTTGGACTCTGCAGAAGCTAGAGATGAGGTTCACAATCACTGGGAGCGAATCCTTCGATTTGATTCTTGTGAGTATCGTCGGCGATAGCGGTGACGTGGCGGCGATGGCGGTGATGGAGGAGAAAGGGTAGGTTTAGGTATTTATAGAATAATAGGAATTAAGTTTAATTTTTATTTTTTAATAGTTGTGAAATGATGTGGAAATTGTAAATGTTTAAATTTTATTATTTTAATATTTTCTAATGGTCACGTCACTATTTAACGGTCAACTATAATAGTTGACTGCCTTATCAGCAAAAGCTAACGAGGAGTGACCAAATTTGAACTATTGAACTAAACTTAGTGACCATGAATGAAATTAAATATTTGTAGTGACCAAACATAAAAGTTTTTAGAAAACTCAGTGACCAATTTTGCAATTAACCCTATCTCACTTGCTTTCCTTCAGATTGAGCAGAGATTATGATAATAATAAACAATAACAATTATTGAAATGGAAATTGTTTCCCGCCGATCTGATTATGATTAAGAGTTGTTGTACCTGGATTGGAATACAGTTTAGGTCTGTGGATTCTTTCACAAGCCACGAATTATATATTTTCTTGGAAAGACAATGGATGGACACTGGCTACTGAGTAGATCATTAGGGTTAAATCCATTTAGTGAGTCAGCAGATATGGATGATCTGGATCAATGCCACATCATCTCTTGAACTAGTAGCTCATTAGCGGGAAACAGAACTGCAATCGGTGAAAATCGTTAACAGACCGTTTGGTACCAAATGAATAGAGAATTCATTTCATTGTAAAATGAATTGCCGTGTAGAATTTATTGTCAAATGAAATCCTATGTTGAGTATGTTATATTCAAATTTTTAGAAATAAAATGAAGTGTCGTGTAGAATTCATTGTCAAATGAATTCCTCTGTTTGGTATGTCATACGTATAGGTGATTTAGTTAATAAAAAAGGAGAACCATGTCATTCTATTATAATTAGTAAATACTTGTGGAATTCATTTGGAAATTTCATCTCAATTCCTCAGAATTGCTATAACTAGTTCCAATTCCGTAGAATTCAAACATGAAAATAATTCTATAACTAGGTGATTTAGAATTGAAAATAATTCTTTTTAATACCAAACATGAAAATATTTTATTTCAAAATGAATTCATCAAAACTTATGGAATTCATATATAACAAACGGTATGTAAGAGTCAAAATTGTTGCACCCTCTTAATCCACTCACCGAAAGTACGAAACAACACTTTTTATTCATCAATCGCCGAGTTGGGCAAGAACCATCCACTCACCGAAAGTACGAAACAACACTTTTTATTCATCAATCATCGGGTTGGGCAAGAACCGAGCCCAGGACGGTTGGGCACTTTTTATTCATCAATCGCCAAGTTGGGCAAGAACCATCCACTCACCGAAAGTACGAAACAACACTTTTTATTCATCAATCGTCGGGTTGGGCAAGAACCGAGCCCAGGACGGTTGGGTTGATGATAAGGAGGGAAGAGGGTCAGTGTTTCGAGGAGAGGCTTCAGACCTACTACGAGTAGAGATGCAAATGAGTCGAGCTTGCTCGATGTTCGGATCAGGAAAAAATTCATTACACTCATCTCGTTTAGAAAGATACAAAAGAGGAATTCTTGGGAAGGATAAAGAGACGATGCATGGCCAGAAAAGCAAGAGAGAGAGAGAGAGAGAGAGAGCTGTCGAGAAAAACTGACTTCATTCATCTCAAAATTCTTCAACTGAAATTACAGATCCCTCTTGGCTCCTCTTTTTTCTCCTTTTGAGATTCTGTACAGCAGAAGCACAAGAAGAAGAAGCAGCAGCAGAAGAGGAAGAAAAGAAAGAATTGAAGGCAGAAACAAGAGTGGGAGAGGACTTGGCTTTACACATATGAAATAACCTTTCTCTCCCTCACTCCCTCTCTATGTCATCAAACTCCAACCCACCACTCCATCCTCTTTCCTTTTCTTTTCAAGGGACAACCCTTTCCCAAATTCCCCCAAAATGAAAAGACAAGTTTTAACAATTAACAAAAAATCTCCTCCCACCATCACTACCACCCAAAAAAATAATCCAGAGATATAATATAGCCATCGCCTCTGCCTCTGCCTCATCATTCTGAATCACTCTCCATACTTCCCATTGCTTTCAACCCTGTTGGTCTCTGTTTCCACACAAAACAAACCAAAATTGATAAATCAGCTTCATCATTTTTCCCCACCTTGTAATTGCAGTGGTGAAAGTGAGAATAAAACAGGGGAAGAGAGGGAGGAGAAATTGAAATTAGTCAAAATTTTGGTTACCTTCTTGGAACTCTTCTTCTCCCTAACTTCATACCTCTCCTGGCACATATCAGTCAACCACGCTCCTGGGCAAACTGCCTGCCTCACCCACCAATAAACCCAGAAATCAGTCAAAAGACCAAAATACCCCCCTCCCAACCACCAGATCCATCCATTCCCACCCCCAAGTAACAAGAATGGTGAAGAAAAGAGAGAGAGAGAGAGAGAGACTTACGAGAACGGTTCTTTGGATGATTTTGGACCTCTTTTTGGGTCTCTGAGGCAACTTGCAACCTTTCATCGCCATAAAGTCTTCTTCTTTCTCTTTACTTGACAAGCTTATATACAGCTTCGGCCAAACCACTCTTTCTCTCTCTTCTATTACCTCCGCAGAACAGGCTTTCTCCGCTCCTCCACCTACCCCCAATCCTGCCGCCGAAGATCCTCTCGTGCTGTAATATCTGTCCTCCTTCTCCGGCGACGACGCTAATTTCCTCTTCTCATTCACCCCCGCCGATCGACCCCCCGCCGCATCTGAATTCCTGTACCACATTACGACTTGACTCATCAGCCAAACAGGGAAGATAGAAAAACCCAGATCGCCAAATATCCAAACAAGCGACCAAGCTCTGCAAAGGAGCAACCTTTGCCGCCGGCAAGGGAATAGAAGAAAGATCTGCCTTCTTTTCTTCCGGAAATCAGACTTACCTTGTAATGCGATTGGAAAGGAGATGGTGGGAGATTTCTTTTTCTGGCGAGGAGACGACGAATCTATCGATCCGGGAAGTGATTCTCCGGTTGAATCCGCCGTTGGATCTCTGGGAGATGAGCTGAGGGCCTCTGACTCTCACGCATCTCAGCCGCTTTTTGGTCCCCCACTGCAGCAGTAAATCTGGTTCGAATCCTTTAAAACCTCTCTGTTGGCTCTTCTCTTCCTTCTTCTCCATTCGTATCTGGTTATTTCAAAGGAAAAGCCCCAAAAGAGAGCAAAAAACAAGGAAGAGTGTTAGGAGTATCTGAAGCAGTGGGTATGAAAATTGGACAAAGGTTGAGACAACCCAGGTCGAGAATTGAGGTTTTTCTATTTCTGGTACATCGGAATCCAGCTGTACGGCTGAAATGAGAATCCGAGGGATTTTGTTTTACGGAGGGATGGGAGTTGAAATTGAGTTGAACTACAGACACCCAGAAGAGATCAGAGAAATTTTGACATTTTTGGGCTGTGCAAGAGCTGAGGTTTTGACTGGGTGTGGAAATCTGAAGAGGATTTGGTCGTGGAGCTCAAGATCTGTGGAAATGTTTTTGGTCTGAAGGAAGAGCAGGCTTCCGATCAAAAAAGGATCGGCCGAGAAGAACGAGGTTTCACAAACAGGAAGAAGGGGAAGGAAGAAGATGAAGAGAAAGGGAGAAAGCAAACTCACCATTTACCAAATCCGAGAAAAGGAAGAGCGCAGCCGAAATCTTATGAAGAAACCGGAATTTCTCTCCCTCCGCAGAAGAGAAATCCCAGAGCGGTTTCGTTGAATGAAAACCGGTAGTTTCTTGAGAAGCTTGAATCGAAATCCCTCTCGCCCTCCCTTCTATGGCAGACCACTTCTTTTTCTCCTCCTGGATTCTGAAGGCTAATAAGGTTTGAGAAATTTGTTGTTTTTCTGTGTGTCTGTCTCTCCCTATTACCCTCTCTCTCTCTATAAGTTTGAGAAATGTTGGTTGAGAGAGTCACAGTGGCTTCTCTTCTCCCTTTCCTCTATCTCCTTCCCTTTCTGCCTCTGCAGTGTATTTATCTGCCGCTCCTCCCTCTCGTGTGTAATAAAATAACTGAAGTTTTTTTTGGCCGTTTGATCGGACATCGACGGTGAAGATGCTAGACCAACTGGCAGCCATTAATACAAGCCCAATGAACAATTTTTTTTTCTTTTTGCAAGAGCCCAATAAACAATATCAGTAACCTTTAGCATTAAATTAGCCAATTGGGCTCAGAGCTACTTTGTTTGGGCCTACGATGGCTTTAGGACTTAGGCTTTTAGCTACAAAGACGATCCATGGACGCAGCCCTGACTGAACGAATTTTCTTTTTACTTTTTTTTTAGTAAATTGAAGGAAAATTCCGTTTATGCGGACGAACATTCGTACCACGGGACGAAGCGTAACCATACAATGCGATAATTTGGATTTAAATGAATCGTTATTTGCCGCCCATAGTTACAAAAAATAACGATTTTGCCTCTGGTCTATTTTAAAACCCTAAACCTATCTACCCCATTCCAACCCTTCACCTCCCAACCCCTCACCTCCTGCTGCCCGCCGCCCACCCCCCCTCCTGTCGACGTCGGCCACCTGCCGACCTCCCAAACCACCGCCGCCCAGAAGCCGCCGCTGTTCCAAAGCCCAGGCCCAAGCTCCCTCTCGTCGTGTCGACCTCCCAAGCTCTCGTCGCCGCCGCTCTCCCAAGCTCCCGTCGCCGTCGCTGTTCTAGTCTCCCTCGCTCGCTGTCGCCGCCGCCGACCTCCCAAGCTTGCCCTCGCCGCTGTTCCAGTCGTCGCCGCCGTCTCCAGGTATTTTTTTTTCTTCGTCCCTTAGCCGTCGTCCGCCTGCCTGAGCGGAAGCGGTCTGCCTGGCCAGATCAGACGCGGTCCGCCTGGCCTGGTCGGACGCGGTCCGCCTGGCCTGGTTGGACCGCGTCCGCTGGTCCTGTCGGACCGGTTTGATTTGGTTTGACTAGTTCGGTTTAATTAAATATTTATTAGATTTATTTTTAGTTCAATTGTTATTATCTTAATCAGTTTAATATTGATAGTTGAATATTTAGTATATAATTGTTGATTGTATAATTAGTATATAATTGTCATTTGAATAATTAGTATATAATTGTTAGTTGAATAATAAGTATATAATTGTTAATTATATAATCTGTTAGTTTATTAATTGAGTAAGTTGAAATAATTATTTAAATAATTATCTATCATATTTAGTAAAGTAACTATCTAGTTAAATTAATTAGATAACAAGTTATATGTATCATAATTAGTCATTGATAAATTATGACTATGAACAAATTGCTCATCAAATAATTTTATTATAAGATATTAATAGATAATTATTGATCATGTTAATAGATAATTTATTAAAATAATTATCTAAATAATTATTGAATTAAATAAATTGTAAATCATTGTCAGTTTTAAATAATTATCTATAATGTTTTAGTTAAGTAATTGAGTAAGCTGAAATAATTATTTAAATAACTACCAATCGTATCAAGTAAAATAACTATCTAGTTAAATTAATTAGATAACAAATTGTATGTACCATAATTAGTCTATGATTAAAATTAACTATGAACAAATTGCACAACAAATAATTTTTATAAGATATTAATAGAAAATTATTGACTATGTTTAGAGATGGCGTCAGCTGGTGATTCTGGAGGTTCACGAAAGAGATTGAAAAGATTCATTGGGCATAACATTAGTATGAGTACGAGAAATAAGAACCCAAAGGATGGAGATGAGACGGAGTCAGAGTCAGATTCAGAGCATGAGCCACAACCACATCAGCTAGTGACACCGATGAGTTTGAGGGCAGACGGTTTTTCCTCAGTTTGATTTTCAGTTGCCTAGTATGGCTGGTAGTGGACCTCGTTCCAGTCATAACTTTGGGGCGAGGGATCATCATACTTCACCGTTTAGGCCTTCAGACGAGATTGATGACGAGTCTGAGCAGTATGAGTCGGATGCTGTTGAGGATCGCATTCCACGAGTCAGTCCGATCAGAGATAGAGGTGCCGCCAGCGGATCGTCACATGACGTTACTGGGATTCATGTTGTTACTTTGATTTATAGAGACCATGCGGAGCGTTTCTATAAAGCTCCACAGCCTGGTGAGGGCCAGAGTGGTAATGCTGATGTGGAAGAGGCCTAGGAGCTTAGAGGACCGTGTGTTGGAGGGCCGAGCGACCCGAGTTTGCTCCGTAGCTTTCTTGGGCATGTTGCCCACCGTCTTTACACCGGACAGGTTGATAGAGGGGTGATCACTTGCTACGACAGGAGTTCGACGCTTCGACATGTTTTAGATGGTTATGAGATCGCAGATGATCGCGCTAGGACTACCGTAGAGACATCGGGCCTTGCTCACCTCGTTGATATCACCTTCCAGAGCGAGCTGGACACTGCTCTCATCTTGGCATTTGTGGAGAGGTGGCAGCTGGATACCAACACCTTCCACATGCCGTTTGGAGAGATGACGTTCCTCCTTCACGATGTGGCTCACATTCTTGGCATTGCGGTAGAGGGAGAGGCGATGGTAGCGGATCCGAGGCAGTTGGAGAATAGGTCACTGGAGGATGACATGCGAGCACTACTAGGCTTAGATCGTGACGATTTGGACCACGGGGCGCAGGTTGGAGAGGTCTCTAGAGAGTCTAAGTGGTACAGAGGGTTTGGTTTTTTGGGTGTGGCAGCTTTGACTCATTTGCAGGAGTTTGGTCCGCCAGCTAGAGAGACTCAGTGTTACCTTCTTTTGCTGCTTGGGTCCACACTGTTCGTAGATAAGAGTAAGGATCGTGTTTCTTCTGTTATCAACTTGTTTGTGAAGAGACTGGATATGCTAGGAGAGTACGCGTGGGGGGCTGGAGCACTTACTTATCTGTACAGACATCTTGGTATTGCCTCCCAGGCGGAGGCTAAGGGAGTGGCGTGTTGTCTGACTTTACTACAATGTTGGATTTACGACCACTTTCCTACCTTAAGGCCTAGTCGGTTGGAGCCACGACAGCTGGAGCAGGGGCAGGCAAGAGCATTCAGGTGGCGCGGTATCGCACCTCAGTCGACGAAGAAGAAGGATACACTCATGATGGCTTATTATTGGCAGACGATTGACAGTTTGACCCCACATCAGATTATTTGGACTCCGTATGGTCAAAATCCTCATATGACAGTGAGACGTACCTTGTATTAGGGCTTGATCAGATTTTCAGAGATAGTAGAGCCATAAGACCCCACTAGGTGCCTCCGACAGTTAGGCTACGTGTAGAGTGTACTATATCCCCCGGAGCGTCCGCTTGTTGTGCGTCAACCTGCTTCCACGCTTGGATACTCTCTTAGCTACCAGTCTGTTTATGATTCGTGGTAGAACAACCTAGGGGCACATAGTGTGCATCTGGACCTTTATTCTAATCCGGTACAACGTAGGCCATGAGAGTTTGCTGACGATTACATGGGGTGGTAAATTAGGCACTCGCACCCATAAATACTGAGTGACAGCCGACCTCGTCGCGAGTTCACGGATGCTGATACGATTAGTACAATCATATTTGAAATTATTTGTATTAAGTAAAATTATGTTTGATTGCAACTAATATGTATTTAAATTGTCTGGTTTTTGTTTACAGTTGGGACGCGAGTGGATGGAGATAGATCCCGTGATGGATGGTGCACAGGGTAGTAGGGAGGACTGGCATGCTAGGTCCAACGAGTACTATGACTTATGCCATGGAGTTTGGAACATGTGGCCCGAGTTTAGGAGGAAGTCGGGTTTTCTACCACCTCCACAATAGTTGTATGATTGTTATGTCATATTTATGAATGTTATTTTGTTGTTTTTAGACGAGTGGACTTATGTTATTCTGTTGTTCTACTACGACTTATGTTATGTGGTGTTTAGTTGCTTATTTGTTGTTTTTTGACTATGACTTATGTATTTATGTTGTACTTGAGATGTTTTTATTATATCATGTTTCCATGTGACGTAAACAACCTTCATTAAAATTTATTTAAATTGAAGACGAGTGCATCGGGCTCCCTCTCGATTACAAATTTATTTCTTTGGAACCCTCTTTGTTTTGCGCCATGGACCGCTTGACTGCCCACCCCCAAGATCTAACCACAGTTGACTAAACTGCGCGAAATATGTATCCCATCCAAGCACGCTATCTTGTCTACCGCCCTCCCACATGCCATGTACAGGGGGCATCAGTATCCTGTTCCCTGGGAAAGAGAGGTTGAGCCAATGATCCTGGACGAAATGCACAACAATGACTCCTCTATGAATGGTTTCCCCAGATAGGTTGTCCACTGGCAGAATGCTACAGTTGTACGTATTTGGTACTGGGTAGAGGATATTGCTGTACATGACAGCAACCATCATCCAATGACGATTTGTCGTTGGTGCTGTAGTAGCGATGTCAATGCGTTTGATTGCCGCATTCACATCCGACCCGTACATGTTAGCGTATCTCGAATCGTGCTCACGGAGTTCTTCAGCAATGAGTCGCCTTACCTCTGGGAACCCATCTTGATTACCATATAATGCAAAACTAAGTGCACGAAACCCACAATGACCGTCTGGCACCGAGTCGTGGATGGCAATGATAAGGTCCCAAACGAAGACAGGAAGCAGATGCATGTGTGCGTATTCGGAATGAGTGCGGGATCTAGGGACATATGTGAAGGAAATAGATAATCAGAACAAATTCTACATAAACTATTCATATAAATAACCACACTTATGAAATTCTTATGTGTACCTGTATCAGGGCAGTTGTATGTGTTGTTTTCTTCGGGATCATCACACTCATCAAATGCATGGTCGTTTGACGAGTACTCATTTGTCTGAGTCCCCGTGGACTTGGTACTAGTCGACTTTGTAGACCCCGACGTTGTGCTTCCCGACTTCTTTTTCATGTTTTTCTTCTTACCAAGCAATATCTTTTCAAACCACCCTTTAGTTCTTCCAGTTGATTTTTTGTTTGGTCGTTCCCTTCTAAATTCGTTCACTTCTGGCTCGTGAATGTTGTCTTCCGCTGGGTGGAGTTCGCAAAACACGTTCTTTGCTTCTTTTTTCGTTGCCTCTGGTCCTCTGCGTATAACCTCATCAACCAACTCCTGAAGGTGACATTTAGCCTCATCCTCGTGGGGCACGTACTCCCGGGCATTGGGTGGATGCTCGTATGTCAATGTCCGCCAATATATATGAAGATCACTTGGGTATATCTCTATGTCTAGCGCTCTGCCATCCATAACCTGACATCCACACCTCAAGCCGTGTGTCACAGAGAAATGACATGCACATCGGGAGTTCTCATTTTTTTTCCAAACAGGTCGCCAAATCTTCTTCAACGTCCTTCACCAATATAATTGCCTGCATGCTGACCTTCCTTCTCAAGTATGTGCATGATGTACCGTTGGATGTTGAAAGGGTTTTCTGTCGATAGTTTTCCAACATCATCCTAACCTCCCCGAGTTGGTTAGTAATGTAGCGGTGGTTTCCTTTCCATATAGTGTCCATAAATCCCCGCTAGTTGTGGAGGAAAGTTTTCAATGCGGAATGTGACGCCTCAACCCTGTTTGTGCTCGTACACTACAAGAAACTGCACTTTCTGCGACGAATTCTATTGCGACGATACAAAATTCGTCGTAGAAAGTGTAGAATTTGCAACGAATTTCATTTTTTCGTCGCAAAATATGTGAATTTTTTTTGCGACGGTTATCCTTCGTCGCAGAATATATGGAGACTTTCTGCGACGGTTTTCTATCGTCGCAGAATGTATGGAGCCTTTCTGCGACAGTTATCTCTCTTCGCAAAAAGTATGGAAATTTTCTACGACGATTGTAGGTCGTCGCAGAATGTTCGGGACTTTCTGCGACGGTTATCTCTCGTCGCAAAAAGTATGGAAATTTTCTGCGACGATTGTAGGTCGTCGCAGAATGTTCGGGACTTTCTGCGACGGCTATCTCTCGTCGCAAAAAGTATGGAAATTTTCTGCGACGATTTTAGGTCGTCGCAGAATGTTCGGGACTTTCTGCGACGATGGCCTTTCGTCGCGAAATGTTTAGGGGCTTCTGCAATGATTTTTGTCTTCGCAGAATGTTTGGAGACTTTGTGATGTCTTTCAGTCGTCAAATAATTTTTCAAGAATTTTTATATTATTAGAACTATAGTTAGTAAATACTTCGTTTAATGCACATATATGTACCCATATGTATTTTATTTGTTTAAAACTTCTGTATTCGTATTATTGTCAAAGAGTTTCATTTTCTCCATTTGACTTTATAGCTCCCATACTAAACATGTACAAAACTTATATAATATGTTTAATATATGTATTTAATGAATAAATTGATACGATGATGAAATATGATGATGAAATTGATACTCTGAGCAAAATCAAATGTTGAATGATTTTTGAAATGGCGGACTGATTATTATTAATCTAAACTAGTAATTATTCTTTCAACTTAATTCTTATTTGTTTTGTTTGTCTTTTGAGATAATAATATTCTTAAACTGGAAAAACTGATTTAAGTTTGGTGTAGTGGCGTAATTGGAGGGCATGTTGTATATTGCTTGTGTTCGAATATGAGGTCACGGTTTCGATCTACCATTTAGTGTTTGTTTTTCTTTTTGTATACAATAGAGTGATAGGCAAAAGGAGGGTAATTTCGTAGTTTAGTGATAGGCAAAACGCGGTGGCAGGTGTAGTAATTTTTTTGAACTTTTAAGGGCAAATTATCTTCTTTGCAAGGCTATATATTACATTTTGGGCTAACACAAACCCTAAGCGGCAACCACTCCTTCTCGCCTCTCCTTCCACGATTACCCTATCTCTTTCTTTCCTTACTCTCCTCTGGTTTTAACGAAAGATGGGGTCAAGACGGTCTCCTGGTTTCCCGATCTGCTTAACTGCGCACTTGAGCAAAGACGGCCGAGAGATGTAGGCGGGGCGGTGGTTCGGCAATCGGCCAAGCAAAGCTTTATTGATCTGCCGCTTCCTCCGTCGCCAACCCCTGATTGTAGAAACCATGATTGGATATCGCTTTTCCCGATTCGCCTCTCGATCCGGAAACACGATCCTTCGAGACCCATCCTTAGTCGATCTCTCTCAAAGAAACGACAGATCTATACCGTCTTTTATAGGTGAGATCGTCGCATACAGATCTGTTTTCTTTCTATTTCGTTTTTTTTTCAAGGGGGTTCTGACTTTGTTTTATTTTCTTGGTTAATTTTTAACTCCGATGAGGGGATCTGAAAGGGAAATTCGGAGACGACAGTGAGATCGTCGAGGGCCGTGAACGACTAACCGCTATGCCGGCGAAGAACCAGCAGCCACCGCTAAGAGGTATAACGCGATTTTTCTTTGGTTATTTTGTTTTTAGTTTTTACAGATTCTGACTTGATTCTCTGTAGGTTTGGAATGAAGGAGGCTTTGATGATATTCTCTAAAACCCTTGGTTAGGATTCGGTTGTATAAATCTGTGTTTGGACATGATTTAAAGTTGGAACTGGTAGTTGGGCTAATCTCAGGCGAAATTGAGATTTATATTTAATGAGGTGATGAATTGATTTTGACAAGAACACAAAATTGAAATAACTCAAAAAATGAACGAGAAACTAAATATTAATTATATTTAATTGAGACCATAAATAATTATGATAAAACTACAGAAAAATAAATCGTAAACAACTCTGCAAAAGCATGTCATCTATTAGCGACGAATTCGTCGTCGCAAATTAACTTCTTATCGCGACGGGATTCATCGTTGCCAAATGATCATTTTTGGCGACGATATGTTCGTCGCCAAATCATCTACTTTTCTGCGACGAAAGCAACTTTCCGCGTCGAACCGGTTATATTTCGTCGCTAAACTTTTTGCGACGCAGTATAGGCGACGAAAGCTTGATCTCTTCTGCGACGGTGAAACTCGTCGC